GGTGTAGTTGAGGTTGGTCAGGTGGTGAGATCTGTATTTGTGATGTTCTGGATATGGAGGTGGATATGGGTGTAGTCATGGGTGCTTGAACAATGGTATTGCAAACACCCACAAACAAACCCGCATGGGTGGTACATGATGTCTTTGAATCTAGCCGGATTGAGTAAGCCACACCCTGTTACAACTTTGCTGCACTGCGCATTGCCTGTATTTGGGTGTGGCGCTGGGGAAAAATTGTGAAAATTTCGGCCACTATACACAAAAAATGTTGCCCAAAAGTATGGGTTTTGCTAGAGTATAGGTTACCTCAATCTCTTCCAAAAGCCATAATTATATATTTGCAGACAAAATATGGGTTATGACAAGGATTGTACAAAACAAAAAATTGACTTCTTGGGAAACCTTAAAAAACATATCAGAACAAGTCTTCTGAGCTGCTTTGCAGCTTTAACACGTAGCAATTGGCAGTGTCTAACAGAGGCTTGGATGGCCCTTTCATACCCCTGCACTTCTTGTGCATTGTCACTTTCCAAGTAAGATAGCATGATATCTGAGGCTTTGTCGTGGTGGTGGAGGTATATTTCCTACTATAGATTCTTTTTCATTTGCTTCTTGTTGCATATTTTCAAATTTCTTGAAACCTTCCTCAATATTGGCCACAATGTATTTGGACAAGTTTGGAGGAAGTACAATATAATTGAGTTTGTGATGTGCGGTGTGTGAAAGTTAGATAAGGTTGAATAGTGTTAGGATCAATAGAGTTTGTCTTTAAATCTTTATGTTTAGAGTTTTTCAAGCCTCCCTCAGTTTTTTTTTCAAATGACCCCAGACTTTCATGGGTTATGAACTCTGGTTTCCCTCAAAAACCTTATGGGTTATGGGGTACTACAAAGTTATGGGTTATGTACCCACTTTCCCTGCAATTTTTCTGCAGATGGCCAGATTTGTATGGGTTTTGATGGAGTATGGCTTACAGCACACGTGGGTTATGTCAGAGACGACTGTAGTGCTTATCACTGGAAATAAGGAAATGTAGAACGGGGTTGTGCCCCAAAGATTGAAATGCAAAAAGCAAGAAAAAACTATCAATTGTTCCAAAAAGCTATAGACACAGAGTCCTCAATCTCACAATTCCAAAACCACTTTTGGAATCCAAAAAAGGTGAGTTTTGGTGGAGGGGATAGGTTTTGGAGAGCTGATTTGATTTCCTTGTTTTTGTTGGTGTTCAATCGACTCATGATCTAAGAAGAAAATTACAAGTTACACAAAAGAAAAATGAATTACATATCAAGATTCACCAAATTGGAAAGTGATGACAAAATGCAAATACTTTACCCCAATGACGTCAATGAATTTGGGATACTTATAAGATAACTAGCTCCCACATTTGTAATGTTTCTCTTTCCTCATCTTTGGAAAGAGAAACGTACATATCATTTCATATTCAACATATTAAAATTTCTTTTCTACCTTATGTTATATTTGCTAATCATTCATCACGTTGTAGTATTCTTTCACTTAGATCAGAAGGCTCACAATCATTCTCGTGTGCTTTGAACTAAATCAATATATACATTATAGGTCAGAGTTCTATCCTTGTAGGAGAGCTTCATAAGTGATCTTATCTAATACTTTGTGCACATCAGTTTTTCCTAATAGCAGTAGGAAATTTATTACTAGACCGTGTTCCAAAACACTTGGACATTTTCAGTTTTCAGGCATAAGCACTATGGGACACAACTTTCTTGAATAGCTGTATATCAATTTTCAAAAACTGTGCCGCCCCCCCACCCTGCAAAGAGCCAGAGTGATACAGAGAGAGAATTGGCAAGAGCAATAAGATTCCAGGGACTTAAAACTTCAAAAATAAAAGAAAGAAGGGTAATGAAAATAATGCAAAGTGTGAAAAGAGACATGTTACGACAAGGTAAGGTAACTTTCTCACTAATACACGAAATCATGAGGATAGAAACACAACGCTTCTCATGGGCCATCCGCCCACCCCCGCCCACGAAAACCTTTTCTCTGTCTGACAGTCCGCGGCCTACGCCCCCCCCAAACACCAGGTCAAAGCCTTAAAACAAGGCAAAGACCCAACAAGTGACTGTTTGTAAGTAGACAAAAGAACAGTGTTAAGAATGCGAACTGAACAAGTCAGGGTCCAAAGATGTACTCAATGTGAAAAAATCCCGGGGCCACAAGATCTGATTCAATTTCCGGTGTCTCACTTTCAACTCCCAGGAAAAAAAAAGAATCATTCTGCCTCATCTTGGTCTGCCGGCTTCGGGCACCAAAGTCCAAGAAGCGGGGGCTGGAAGGACGAATTAGTTTTTAGGCAATCCATCTTTCGTTTGTCCTTTTCTTTTTGGCGCCGGCCTACTCTACAGGAAGTTCATGCTACCCTCAAGTTCTCAAACAATGCTCCTCCGTCGGCTCCGGCGGATCTCCTCAGGCGCTTGTGTTAAGCCGGTCAACCAATATTTTAACGTGGATCTAGTCTTCCTGGATGCTAAGGGAGGGTTTCTTTCCCTCTGGACACACGGACATTTGCTTTAGGACCATATGTTAATCAGCGTGGGAGGGAATCAATCAAGCTGATGGGTCTCTGAGTCGAGTTTTGAAACCATCCAGCTTTTAGGTACATATTCTTTTGTAGGTTTTTGCTTGTGTGATGGTGCTGTGATCAAGGGTTTCAAACTTCACCTCAAACGTCCTCAAAACTCCACTCACTAAATGGGATCTCTGAATGTTTCAGCAGAGTTTTAAGCGTGTCTTCCAGTTTCAAGCCATTCATCTTCACGACTTTCTTGCGATACTGTCATACTGCTGTGTCAATTTTGGTGCGATATCCGCCTAGTTGCGCTTCAAGCTTCCATCCATTGCACTTCAACTTGCACGCGAGCAGGGTTTATGATGTAGGTATATTCTGAACTCGCGTCACAGGTCCTCAGCCCCTCGTTTTTCGTCATACGCTTCATCTTTTCCTGTCTGAAGCTCAACTAAGTCGTTCGCTGTTGGTCGGTGAATTCAAGTCTTTCACGCCTCAAAAAATCGTTACCATCGTGATTCCAGTCACTCCTTCTTCCGCCCCGTTCTTCCCTAGATTTGATCATCCGTAGACATCACGGACATGTATCTCGTCCAAGTTGGCCTCTGCCTCTGGCTCATCTCCCAAAGATGTTACGCCGGGTTAACCAAAGATATCGAACAGACCAAAATTCTCGACGATGGTCTTGAGCTCAGTAACCGCGAGCTGACTCAAGGCGAACGAGACTTTGCAATGTTTCCCGAACTTTCTTCAAAAGATTCATTCCCTGATCATGGCGATACAGAAAGATCGAAAGAAGAAAGCACTGACGTCAGCCCTGCGAGTTCAGCTGAAGGAGACGTGCCGACTGGATCTCAAGCACGCCTTTCATCAGGTAAGTTGTCCAACAACGCTGTGAAGACTACGAAGAAAAAGCTAGAGCTAGAGCTAGACTTTTGATTTCTGGTCAAAGCTATTGATAGTGACAGATCTTCAGAAGATGGACCGATCTCTGCGATATCAAAGGGAAAGCAGCATGCTCATTCGGTGCCGCTATACGAACAATACATCTCATCCTACGGTGGATCCGCCCGTCGGGATTTTCAAGGCCAGCTCAGCCATTATCAAGGAAATCCTAGATTTGACCCTCATGCTACAGCTATGCATCCCTTTCCGATCACTAATCAGTATTGGGCTTTGGCTCCAAATGACTTGCCGGGTCCAGACGTGTTGATCCCGGCGTTTTCAAACGCAGAAGTCGCGGCGATGCATTCACCTTTTGGACAAGCTATGGCGGTGATGCCCTCGCCCTTGACCCCCGGACTTCTATCAGATCACATCCAGGCGCCTTTGCCATATTACAATACTCATCTTATACATGAAGGGAACCCACAAGAATTTGTCCCATCGCATATCTCTGATCCACAAAGCATGTAAGACCAACTCCAACAGTCACCATACTGAAAAAACAATTCTGGCAACTGGATTTTTTGACGAACTTTACGTGTTTCTATCACAGTAGACCACCTCGGGATTCAAACTTCTTCGGCTCCAGAAAGTCCTCCAACAGACCTCCGTATAAAACCCGAGGTCAAGGACTACCCAGAACTGCCCTGGATGCCACGAAATCTCCAGAACAGTGAGTAATTTCTCACAGGGGAAGATGTGAAGATCGACTTGATGCGACGAGGAAGATGACCATGAACTTGTTTTAGACAAATCATTCCTGAGGGCTCCTCCGAACAAAAGAGCGAAGAATTGAATAAAGCTTCAGGTTCCAGGAAACAGGTTTGGAAGGAAACTGATCGGACGAAGCTAGATCAAACAAAATCCCCCATCCCGAGGCCTGAACCTTCGAAAAGCTCAGAAGAAATGTATTTGCCTTTTTCTAGCTGTCCAAGAAGTCCGAGATATGTCAACTGATTGCCTGCTCACAGTCTCTCCACAGTCTCCTCGCAATCTAGTAAGATCGATGGCTCTAAGTCGTCCGTGGAAAGTATACCTACAAATCCCAATGACTTGGAATCAAATCCGGCACCTATAGAGCGGAGTAAGATGTCAGTCTTCTTTTCCCCATCTTGTTGGCTGGGCCAAGCTTTTGAATCCAAGACTGAAATCAGCCATCGAGAAGCCTTGATAATTCGAAAGGACCGTCCACTTCCACTCCTGTGGAAACAAGTAGGTCTCTGGGCCAACACGTAGAAAGTGTTGATAAGCAAGTGGCAGAAGTTAAACCTACCACGTCGCGCCTGTGGGCTGATATCGTCTCAGAGCCAGAAAAAGAGTGAGTACATAGTTCATTTGGCTTTCACTTATCCCCCTTGACTCAAGGGCTTCTGCTGTTCTAATCTCTCGCTCTTACCAGGAAAAAAGTAGCCCAATCATTTCCAGAAAAAGGAAAAAAAATCGTCTCACACCGTAAAGGCAAGCCTTTTGAAAAACAGAATGTCGAAGTCAAGAATACTGTTTCCCCACTTGGCTCTGGAATAAACTCCCGACTCCGCTCTGGGTCAAACACCAAGACTCGCGCATCCGAAAGTGGTTCGCTTCTCGATCCCATCCCCGCACAGCAAGATTCAGAATGGACAGAATACCGACAAAAGAAGGGCCGAAAAGGGAGATTTCTTGCTCAAAAGCCAGCGTCAAGGGCAGGTGTACACAGTGAAGTAGATAGGCCAACTCCTTTTGACGTGCCGGACGGGGCAAGTATTTCGAACGAAGCAGGGCCTCGTTCTCATACGTCGGACTCTATCCACAATGGCCTTAGTAGCAGAAGCTCATCCCAGTCAAGATACTGTAGTAGATCTGACAGAATCTCATTCCCAAGAGGCGACCGAATCTCCATCGAATAATATTAATACACCATATAATGCAAATCCCGAACCAAATGATGAGTCCAGCGGATCCGGCCTGGGCGCTTCGAAGATCAAGGCAATCATCGCTGACAAGATTCACAAGCCCCCAACGAAACACAAAGGTAAATCGCGAAGGCCAAAAACAAAAGCTCAGATTGGTAAAACCGAAGGCGAGGGTAAACTTGATGTGCCAAACTCAGAGACCACCGAGCCCCAGATCACATCCTTACCCGAAAGCGAAACTGAACTACAACAAAAGATGGATACTATCCTTTCCAAAGTCTTACAGAGGGATAACAAAAAAGATCGGACAAAAATCGTTTTTGATACTGAGTCCTATGAAAAACTTTTGTCACTCAAATCTCCATCTGGAAACGTTTGGGCTAATTATCGCGCTAGATTCCAATCTGAATTCGGAAACTCTTTCGAAACCCAACGAAGATGGAACGCGTTTGCAGCCCAGATCGATCAACACATGGCTACAAGGAGTTGGAATGATCTCGCTTATAGGACAGCTGAACCTGTTAAAAAACTCGCACTTCAATTGAAGATTGATGAAGAATGGCCAACATTCGATAAGATTGATATGGCGTATGGGCAAAAAACAATGGAGATGCTAGAAGAGTTGACTCCAGAACATCACTATGCTTTATCTCAGCTGTTTGGTGAGAAACTGCTTGGGGTTCGATTAGCTACTGTTTATGTTGCATCGCGCAGATCTCCGAAGGCAAAGCAATTCACACAATCACAACTTGTGGACTTTATGAAACGAGGCGGGACGGTACCAATTCTATATGAGGTTCATGATTGTTTGGAAATGCAATCAGCTGAAGTCAATTGGAGTCAGATGCATCCGGAAGATTTAAGATCCAGATTAGATAGACTTGTCAAAGCAATGACGGGTAAAATCTCGAATGGCGGTCAATTTTTCGACCTGACGAAACAAAGTTGGACTTTAACTTGGACTCGGGAATATCTATCAAGATTGAGTGAGACCTCAACAAAGAATGTAGCATTCCTGCCTCGTTTGAAAAAATTCTATGAAATTGTAAATGACAATTTAGACTCTCGGGACGTTGCAAGTTGGCGGGGGGTGCCGATATCTGAAAGGGCGGATCGACCTGTATGGCTTCAGGAGCTTCTCACTCCTGGTCAAGTGCTAGCTGGTGCAAATTTTGATTTATCGGTTGAACTGATTGGAATGATGATAAATGCATTGAAGCAAAATCTAAATACTATATCCCGTCAAAGCTCCTCTGGTGAAAAAGTTATCTTGTGGCCTGCGAATGCACCGACTGAAGTATTGTTTAAAGCTGTACCATTTGTAGACTTTTTTGAGTTTTGTGGCTTTAGATTGAAGTTACCTCTCGCGCGAAAATTTCGTCAACAATAAGAAAATAATACTTTATATCATTCAACATTTCTCACCTTTCCTTAATTATAATTGAAGATAAAACTGAAAGTATATAGTTATAAGTGAAATTGATTCAAGTTCTTTTATCGGATTTTTGATGTTACATGCTTGTTGAAAGCATGCCTCCAAACACAACCGATGTGCATTCAGACCATTTTTTCTCTCTTTTGAAACGTAATGATTGTGGAAGGTAAATCCTTTGTCTGCGTCCACAAGAAGAGTTGATAAATTTTCATTCCTGGAGACAGTCCTTACCCCTCATATCTCGAGGACAGAATGTATCCCAGTCACTGTAGATGAATCTCAGCCTATAGTTTTTAGCTGCTAAACAGTAACTTACATAAATTGATTCATCCATTCATGGTTATACGTGATTTCTCATCTTTTTCAAATTTGTTCCACACAATTGAAAAGAACATCCTCCAAAATGTTCCAGTGTGAAATCACAATCACATCTTCTTTGCATTGCTTTAGATTGTTTTTCAGCTAACAAGCCATCAAACACTGTAACTGTGACTCCACACCGCTAAAAACCCCTGATTATAGGGAAAAAGTGTCCAGGTAGTCTATTTGAACATACATACAGTCGTTTGCAAAAAGCTTGTCCAAATTTGCCCGCAAAACTCGAGCGATTTGGGATCATTTAGCAGTGAATTTGTGACAAGCTTTTTGAAAACGACTGTATTACAAATGAGAGAGTATGATGGTGTAAAGTCTTCAAAACATCAAGTCTTGGACCAATTGAGCCAACATCCAATCATATTAAATGATCTCCCTCATCACACATCTTACTATATAGACATCCAACAAACAACTTTAAAATCTTAAAATTCAAAGGATAATTTCATATCTTTTTTTCTTTTCCAATACAAGACTTGATGACAAAAAATTTTGAGTGATCAGAAAAGAAAAAAGTTATGGATGAAAACTACCAATTGATCTAGCATTCCAAAAAGCCTGTTTTAATTTATGATCCCAACATTTCGTTTGATCTATTTTTCTTGATTCTTTAATCTTGACTTCAATCAATTTAAACTAATAAACCTTTACAAAAATCCGTAGTAAAATCATCTCAATCCATCTATGTAAGTATGTAGTCAAATCTGTATCTAATTGTTTTTTTTAAAAATACAATTCATCAAAACAAATGTTTAATTTTCCCCATTTTCAACAAAAAAACCCAATTATTTTCCTAGAATCCCCCCAAAAAAATCATATCTACAAATAAATTAAATATATGTATATTATATAATCCGAAAACAAAAACACACACACACACAAGAACACAGATTTAACAAAAGCAAAAAAGCAAAATGAAAAAAAAACGTTTTCCAGAGAGTTTATACTACTAAATCATCATGCAATTCAACATTTTATGAATCAAAATTGAAAAATCAAGCAAAAGCCAAAAAGAAGAAAAAATTAAATGATAAAAAGAAATCCTTTTCAATCAATGGATGATCAAAATAATAAAGATAAAGAAAAACCCACGTATGTTCAAAAAAAACCAAAACCAAAAGATCTATATAAACAAACCAAACCAGATTCTATAAAACCCAAATTCCTTCAATCTTTTTTTTTCGTTTAGATTTCATTCAGATTTATCTTCTACCAGGTGGTCTAGGTCCAAACCCACTAACACTCTTCCCATCTAAATTCTCCATCCCATTCTCTTGATGATAATCCATTTGTGGGATTGGATAAACATTAGGGATAGGTGTATATCCATTCATTTCGCCCGCTCCTCCTCCTCCTACACTTCCTGCCACTGAAGCTGCTGGCATTGATGCTGGGTATTGCCATCTTGGCTAAACAAAACAAAACGAACAGAAAAATAATCAATCAGATTCACATTATCGTTTGTTGTGAGTGAATGTTAAGGTTTTTATGGAAATTCTTTTCACTCACATCTGGTCCTCCTCCTCTTACTTTACTCATAAACATTAACATATCTGCAATATCAGATTGGATTTGTTGTTTTTGATCTCTTAATTCTCCAACCTTTTCAAAAGTTTGTTTCATCTAAAAAAAGTAAACACGCACGCACACACACCAATGATCAGATTCCAAAATCAAATCATTAACAATCACACTTTTTCAATCTCACTTACCTCTGCAAACATTTGAGCTTTAAATTCTTCTAAATGAGTCATCACTCCACTTTCAACAGTCGTCAAGACCCGATTCACCCCTTCCATAGCTTCTTCATGTTTTTTATTTCGTTCTTCTTCTCCTTCTTCATACTCTTGTTTCCTATCTAATTGTTCTACAATATGTTTTAAAAGTCGATCATGTTCAGCTGCTTGTTGTTTCATTGCAATCACAAGTGATTCCATATCTTTTTCAAATAATATAGTAATAATAATCAAACGCAAAAAAACTTAGATTAGTATTCTTTCCTTCAGATTCTAAAAGAATCATCACGTACGATTTGCTTTATCATCAGCTAAAGCGGCTTCTCTTCTCAACTGTAATTCTTCAATCTTAGCTCTTCTTTCTTCCATCTCATTAGAAATCACTGGTTTAGGTTGTGCTGCTTTCTCAATCTCTTTATTCCTTCTTCTTTCCTCTTCTTTAGTTTGATTCTCTCTCAATAACTTCAAGATATGTGAAACTCTATAAAATATCAAAAAAAAATTGTTCAGTAATAGAAAAAAACCCTAATCCAATCAAAATCTTCAAGACTTACCCTAGAGCGATCGTTCCAGTTCTTTCATCAGGACCATCAACCACAGCTTCACCCCCTTCTTCTGTACTCAATCCAGCCAATGCTCCTTCCACAATCACCGGTTGTCCTCCTGCCGTAGTCATCACAGTCTTATTCGTTGGTGCTCTTTTCAATGTGCCTCCTCCTCCATTACCCCATCTAGCCGCTCGATCAGCCGCAGGGGTAGGTCCTCCCCATAGTTTACCTACATTAGCTAATGTTGTCGGCATCCTAGGTCCTTTCAAACTCTTCCCTAAACTAATCTGTCGAGCTCGTGGTCCTCCAATCCTATGTAATGCTGACGGTCTTTTGGTCATCGTGGAGACTATTTCGGAAGAGATGAAAGTATGAAGAAGAATTATAAATGTCAGTCAGCCGGGTTTGTATGTTAGAAAACTGTTTCTATCAAACTTACATTGTCTAGTGTCTGTAGCTTCATCAGCTCCCTCTTGTGGCGGAACACCAACAGTCACATCCACTTCACCAGCTCCTTCCTCCACCTCGAAATGAATTCCCTCAGCCTCCTCAGGATTGCCTTGATCAGGTTCTTCTCCTTTTTCAACTTCATCTTCCCCACTAACCAATCCATGATCGATATCTGGTAAAGGTCTTTCGATTTCAGGTGGTGGGACCCTTTGAGATTGTTCGATCAAAACTGCTAATTGATCTTGTAACTTTCTAACACTCTCGGAGATCATTTCTACATCTTCATTCTTTTTCACCAAGACTCCTTCGAGATGTTCATTGAGTTGAGTGAGATACCTTGATACTTCGGCTTGGTTCAATACCGTTGCTTGACTCACTATATATCACATCACAATCTCTTGTTAGTTCGGAAGACGCAAAGCAGTCGGTTCATTGTACTCCTAGGTCTACTCACCTTGATCTTGAGTCCTAAGCAAGGTTACCATCTCATCGAACATTGGTGCTTGCTGATTCGAGTGCTAGATGTTTGACCCACAAATCATTATGAGCTCACGCCCTATCACCAATAAAGATCAGATGTACTTACGTCGTCTAAAGTCTCCTTCAGCGCATTCTTAATCTCATCAGTCGGTAGAACCATCTGAACTGATGGTGGTGGAAGAGGAATAGCCTGTTCTTGAGGTTCTTCAACAGGAACAGGCGGTAACGGTTGCTGTCGTTGAGAATGATGTGTAGCAGAAGAGATCACAGATACTGGACGGGTTACACTAGATCGGGAAGATCTAAGGGATTGGACTCTTTCGCTAAGTCTCAATGACGGTAATCGTGGTAGTTCGGTCTCATCCTTTGGTGGTGGGGGCGGAGGTGGAACAGAAGCCTGATCAAAGAAAATAAATCTTAAAATCTACAACGCTTTATTGTCTTTTTACAAAAGAAATGATCAAGATTCGAAAAACTCACATCTATTCCAGGCGAAGGTGTCTAAATTGAAAGCGTAATTCATCAGTCCAAGCTGCCACTCAACTTTTCCAGCCAAGAAGATAATCACTTACAGTGATAGACCAATGACTTTTCTCATGCCTCATCCCACCATCTTGCATCATACTCATCTCATTTTCCGGATTTAAAGAATGATGAGTTTGTTGATAAGCACCAACATCATAAAGACTTCTTTGACCTAAATCTAAATGTTCTTGATGATGACCAATACCACCATAAGGAGTTGAAATCCCTTCCAACCTTCTTGCTGCTCTTGCTCTTTCATCCGCAATCTTTCTAGCTACTGCATCTTCAGCTTCATAAGCCAGATTATAATCCTATCAAACACACACAAAAAGAAGATGGTCATAAGCAAAAAAGAACCTCTACTATGAGAAAGATTATCAAAAAAATACTAAACTGGAATAGCTTCATAATTAACTTGATCAGAATTATCCGTCTCAGTAGGAGTAAAATTCCTATCATTCCGCCTTGATGAACTACGATCAGTTGTACTCCTACTAATACTACCTTTCCCTCTAGACTTCCACAAAGCAACATCAGCATCCAAATCGAGCGTACTCCTCATATCTGAATCTTCGGTGGTTGTTTCATCTTTCTCAGGTAAAGGTGGCGGTGTCATCGCTGGTTCTTCTGGAACTGTTGTTGGTTTTCCAGCAGCTGCAGCTTCATCCATTCGACTCAACAACGCCACAAGCAAATTCTCTATCCTTCCTAATCCTGCTTCTTGGACTTCAACCGGTACTAAAACCTCTTCAGCAGGTTTCACGACTTCTCCATCTGCTACTTCGGCTTCTGCTTCGGCTTCTGCCGATTCAGTTGGTAAAGGTGGTAAGGGTGGTGAAGGCATTCTAGAGAAAGATGACCGCTGATCTTCATCTAAACTTGCCACAGGTATAGGTGAGATCGGCTTAGCTTCAGTAGTCATTGAAGAATTCCGATTGGTATAATTGGTGGTAGATCGCATGGATCGGGTATGAACTGATTTATTATCTAGATTCAATCCATGTGCTTTCAAATTCTTTTCAACTGCTGTTGAAACTTTATGTTGACTTTCGAGTAAAATATTACACCTAAACAAACCAAAAATCAAAAAAAAATCAACACCCAATCAAATCGCACAAAGTAGATCAAAAACACTTACAAACTCAACATATAATCAACTTTATCAGCAATCGTAGGTTCTTCCACTTCTCCTCCTCCTTGATCTTCATCACGTTCAAGTTCATGTCCTTTCAATTTAGCCGCCACATTTTGTAATTGAGCTTGAATATTATCTAAATGATCTCCTAATGAGTTCGATTGAACAATCAATTTGGAATCATTCCTTTCAATGGTCTTCAAGATCCTTTGTAGATCTCTTTGAACGGCTCGTTTAGGTAAAACAGCTTCAGGATCAGTTTGCGCTGATCTTCGTTCGACGTCTGACCATGCTCCTCGACGAATTGGAGTCTTAGCTTCACATTCGCTGCGAGAATCTAAACTTGGATTTTCGGGTCGAGGTGTGGTACCAGGATCTTGTAAAACGTAACGTTGGTTTCGTGGTGTAGATTGAGCAGAGGATGAACGTTGGTGTTCAGATTTAGCTTTAGAGCCACTAGTAATTGAAGAACGGGGAGAGTCTAAAAATCGTTCATGAATTCCAGCAGCAGAGGTAGGTCGAATGGTATGAAAGGAGTTTTGGGATGAATCCCGACGGTTTGCATCTGCATCTTGTTCCAGTGCAGAAATATTGGCTTGTTCAGCTGGACTGATCGGTTGTGGGTTATGCATATCGCATGATCTTTGACGTTGTAACATTGACATCGGCGCTGAGGCAGGTAGTGGTGGGGTTGAAGGTGGTGGTTGATCATAAAATTGAGATGTCCGATTATGAATCGAACCTCTCACACTCATCCGGTCAAGCATAGCAAAGAGATCTAATTCGGGTGACTTTGCTCTTGAACTTTTTCTTGTAAGTTGTCTTTCAAGATTAGGGTCGATCAAGTATTCAACTCGACCTCTTGCACCGGTCACTACTCCTCTCTCTTGCTCCATCACCTCTTCAAGCGTTTGTCTCAAATCCTTGGTCGCTTCTTCACTATAAAGGTGATTTACAGAAGGTTGTCTTTGATGTCCCAACGAGGTCGAGCCCATCAAACTTCGATCATACTCACGATTTAGTTCGCTCTGTAAAGTGGTCGTTTCAGCCGATGAGACTGAAGCAGCACTGGTACTGGCTGCAGAGGACATATCTTGACCGATTGGTGTGGATGGGACAAGACATGATCCCTTTGGCCGAAGATAACTCTCATCCACACTCATGGCCCGATCTACGAGGGTAACTGCATTTAACCTAGGACTCTGAGTTGGTTTCGGAGAAGGCTCAGGCTCGAGTGGGGCCTGAGATGGGGTATTTGAAGGGTCGGGTCTGGGACTTGCAGAAGGTGAAGATTTACCCGCCAGCGGGATATCAGGTTGTTCAATAAAACCACCCAAATCATGGGCAGCTTGCCTATAGTAAAGTAAAAGGATATGATCAGAATAGTTTTGATTTCGAATCAAGAAAGAATAAAGACCACCTACCAAATGGCGCCCACCCAATCTGCACGTTGAGTAGCACGAGTGCAACCCAAAAACTCTTCATGTTCGACTCTAGAATTATTCAAAGGATCGAATTCTGTCCAAGCAATCCTAAGCATATGTAAATGTGGATCACTAAAATCAGGACCATAAGATCTTTTGCTTCGCACACTTTCAACTGCCGTACAATTCCTTAAATTCAATTCGATAGATTGATTAGGTGAAGCTTGATCAATTTCACCATTTTCGTTCATGAGATAAACTGCATCAGATGTCAAGATACCTCTTGTCTCACCCCATTGATTAGTTTGTGGATTCCGATACCAGATTAAACCGTGATGAAGGATCTGAATATCACTAAGGTTAGAGGTGATCGAAGATGCAATCGATTTCCGATGTTGAATCAATCGTTCGGACATGGGAGATTTCAATGATTGCCTCGAATTCTTGGTTGGTGAACTAGGGGGTGGCACTAGTTGACCTCGTTCAGCCTGTGCCACTCGCTCTCGCCTCTCGTTCCTCGTTCGAATCCGTTGTTGCTCTGCCTCTGTTTCTTCAAATGGAATAGACGAGGAAGTAGTAAGAGCATCTTGGTCCACAGCTGGGATCGCAGATGTTGAAGCAAATTGATTGAGGGCGGATTCAGAAACATATTGCCGTTGCTGACGTGCAGTTCTAGCTTTTCTAGAGGCCTCTATTGCCTCAAACGCCGAAAGCCGAGATGGTGTTGATCCGCTAGGGCCAGGTGTTGGATATTGGATTCTATTCAAAGGAGCGGCTTGAACTGATGAAGAGTTGAGTTTGGTAGGGGATAAGGAGATAGGTCTAGGTTTATGAGGTGGAAAGCCAATGGGTATACTAGATTGAGAGCCTGAAGCGGGTGAAGAAGAGCCACCTTCGAACATTTGAATCAGAGCTGTAGCCTTTTTAGGAATTCGCTGCAATGAAGGTCGGCTCGTGGCCGCTCCGGTGAGATGGGTATCATCCGGGAAAAGACTTGATGATTGGAGAGGGGGAGAGAACAGATCGTGAGATGATGCGGATTTGGTCAAAGTGTCTCTGGGTCGGAGAGGTTTGGAGTCTCCAAAGATTTTGGCTCGATCACTAAGATTCGATCCACTAGGTGCGGGATCTTGATTGGTTGATAGGCCATGACTCGAATGAGGACGATCCAAG